GGTCATGGAATATGGGTTGGTTATTCTTTGCTTTATGTCTAATATCCACTTATGAGTGAGTACATACTGTGTTTGTCTTTCTGGGTCTGTGTTACCTCACTCAGAATGCTTTTATGGTCATTTCTCAGAAAATTGGGAATCAATCTACTTCAAGACCCAGCAATACCACTCTTGGGCATGTACCCAAAGGATGCTCACTAATAAGGATATTTGCTCAACTGTGTTCACAGCAGCATTATTTGTAATAGCGAGAACCTGAAAACAACCTAGATGCCCCTCAACCAAAGAAAGGATAAAAAAAATGTGGCACATCTAAACAATGGAGTACTATTCAACGGTGAAGAACAATGACATCTTGAAATTTGCAGGCAAATGATAGAACTAGCAACGACACATTTAAATACAAATATGTTCATTTATTCGTGTGTGTGTGTGTATGTGTGTGTGTGTGTGTGCACATGCGCATGTATGGACACCTATTTGTGTGCCACAGCCTGTGTATGGAGGTCAGAGTACAGTTTGAGGAGTTGCTTTTCCCTATTTGGGTCCTGGGGACGGAACTCAGTTTATCAGGTGCCTTTCCGTGCTGAACCATCTTGCCAGCCCCGTGCGGCTGTTTTAAATGTTGTCCCACAGACATCCTTATGCATGTGTTTTCCTTAGAATAATTTCTAGAATAAAACAAGCTGTGTTTAAGATGTGTATTTAAGACTTTTGTTCCTGGCTGCTGAACCTGCTGGAGGAGTAGGTTTTGAAAGGAAGGGGGCGCCCTCCCATGGCTGGTTTCTGGAATAGCATCACAGGGCCAGTGTGACAGAGACAGCTGATATTCTGCACCAGAGTGCTGTCATCTGGGGACCACTTCCCACCCGAAGAGGGGACGCCAGAGAGTATGGTTCTGACCACTCTGATGTCAGTAGAAGACAGAGATGCCCTTAGCTATCACCAGCCCCATGGACGGAAATAGATTTAGGCTTTGCATTGCATAAGAGGTATAAGCAAGTCCGTGGACAATCGGGCAGTCTCAGTGAGCATTAAAGGTGCTCCCAGGGTTAGAGCAGGAAGGATGTAACCTTGTTATAGTAATGTGTGTGTCCTGCATCAGATGATAGGCCCCTACTGTGAGGGCTCAGTGTTAATTGTGGATTGCTGGCTTCGTTGGGCTTGTAAGGAGTGTATGTACACACTGTGTGTGTGTTAAAAACTAGAGGAAAGGAGGAAGATGATGATGATGACCATAATGAGGGGGAAGGAGGAAGAGGAGGAGAGGCTGGAGGAGGAGCTGGAAGGCAGGAGCGAAAGGGAAGGGAGGGAGGGAGATAAAAGCCTGAAGGCAGAGAAAGCAGGGGCCCACTGGCACCTTGAGCACTGTTGAAGTATGCTGGAGTATTGTGGAATGACCAGGGAGGAAGAAAACATGGGAGCAGGCCTGAGTGTCCAAGGCCACCGAAGAATAAAAGAATGAAATTCTCTCTGGCACTGCAGGATGGCTATGGACTCCTCTACCCGCCTTGGATGCTTCGGCCAGTGTCACGAGATTGACATTGTGAGATTCCCCACCTGCAGGCAATGAAGAGGTCAAAGGCCCACATCACTGGGCCAGGTGTCCATCTCTAAGTGAGCTGCCTCTGCCATGTTCATCGTGGAGCAGGAAGAAGCCTGCCAAGGATGCTTCTAAACTCTGAAATGCGCACCAAGGCAGTTTCAAGGACGACTCCCAATCCGTCTCCATCCAGACTCCTCCTTGAATGGCCTGTTGGGTGCTCCGTAGCACCTGGGCCCCTTCCTGTTACCACATTGCCACAGGAGTAGGCTCGGCACATAGGGACATGCCAAACTTAACACTGATGCTCAAGAAACATGGAGTAGGTGACAGATGGGCTCCTCAACAGCTCCGTCTTGCAAGCATTTCCTTTTCTGGGCTGCCTAGTCAATCACCGATACCATCAAGGTCGCTCTTCAGCTGGTCATTGTTTTTCGTCCTTCTGCTCATAGCCAACGCGCCAACAAACCCTCTCTGTTCTTGCGTTCTGCACCCACACTTTCCTCTCCTGCACTGCAGAATTCTGGGGGATGAAGGTGTGGGAAGAAGAAAGTGTGGGTGAAGGTCTATAAGCAAGGACATCGCTGAAGGAAAACTTGCTTCTTTTGGCACTTAGTGCCACTCTCCTCTTCCTGCCTATGATGCTCCACCAGCTTCCTATTTCCTTTCCGTAAACTTCAGATTTCTGAGCTTGGCCCTTAGGACCACAGCCTTGCTCTCTACCTTCTTTGTTTACATCATCCATTTATCTTTCGAGTGTTTCTTGTTTCTGCCTGTGTGTGGTCTCTAATCTTCAAGCCCATCCTGGGTTTGCCTGCCCTTCTATCTGGGCTTTGTAATCTTCCCTCTTCACTGCCCAGTCCTGTGCTCAGTCACTTCTCTTTCCGTGGAACGGTGCCTCAGACTGAAGTCGCAGCTGAGACCCTGTTTCTGTGGGTGCTGGGTGGTGGTGATACTCTCTGGCTGTGGCATACCCAGCCAAGGCTGTGTGGACTGGTCACGATGGTACTGGTTGTCTTTCATGTTTCCAGCACTGTCTGTGTGTCTCCTATGCTTTCTTTTCAGCCCTCACAATAAATAAATGTCAATTTCATTCAAATGAGGATTCAGTGTGGCAGACTGCATAGCTGCTAGGCCATGGCCAGGCAGGGCTGTGGGGAAAATGGATTCAGTGGAATAAGGATAGAATGGGACCTTGGGATGATGCTGAGGACATCAGGACTCACTTGTGGGTGTTGGCTTCTGGGAGAAAGACGGAAGGAAAGGAGAGATGCAGCTAGCTACCAAATCAGAGGAAGATTGAGGCTGTTCCTCTCTGGTGACGAGAGAAGCTGTAGGTGCAGGTCCTTGAGGGGGCAAGTAGGAAGCGATTCCCCCCCAGGGCTGGATGTGGGGTCTGCTAGGAGGAGGCCATTGATATCGTGGTACCAGGAGATGGTTCCATTAGGAAAGGGCCTGCCACCCAAGAATGAGGACCTGAGTTTGGATCCCCAGGTCCTGTGTGAAAGCTGAACGTGGCAGAGTTCCACTCTATAACCCCAGAACTGAAGGCAGAGACAACAAGGTCCCTAGATCTTATTGACTGGATAGACTAGCTGAATTGATAAACTCCAGGTTCAGTGAGAGACCCTGTCTCAAAAAATGAGGTGGTCACCCCAACATCAACCTGTGACCTCTGTGTGTACGTACACATGCATACATATCTGTGCACACATGAACAAGTTCATATGACACACACACATAGAGAGAGAGATGAGAGAGAGAGAGAGAAAGAGAGAGAGAGAGAGAGAGAGAGAGAGAGAGAGAGAGAGAGAGAGAGAGAGGTGGCAGGCATGGGGACAGCAGAGTCACTGGGAAACAGGGCATTGACTAACATCTGAAAGACAGTAGTTTATCCAGAGCCAGGGGTCAGGGAGTCGGCCTGTCTGTGGCACAGCTTTAAGGACCGGGACCTTCCTGTTTTGGGTAGTGCTTAGCTGAGAGCAGAGCTGGTTATTATGTGTCAAAGAGTATGGCTTCCTCTAGAGACTAGGTGAGCTCTCCTGCCTCCCATTCTCAGTCCAGTCTGCTAAAAGGATCTTGTTGTGGTTGCCAGCGAATTTGCTGTGATCCCTAACTTTGATTCAAGCAGTCTTCCCCAGAGAGTAGCCCTCGGAGAGAGAACAGTCGGACCATGTAGACGTTCTCGGCAGGTGCGCTGACCGACTACCGCCTGGGCTGTCTTTCAAGTCCCCCAAATTATTTAGTCAACTACTAGATGGTTAGACTGTCTCAAGTTCAAAGGCGAGCAGGCTGGAAGCAGACATCTGAGGGACCTGCAGACATCTTAGCCGGGAAATATTAAGATATGGCAGGCTGGGCTTATCAGGAGGCTGGGCAGGGATCAGAAGGAATACATTTTTTATTCTGTGAGCTGCAGCGCCCAGGAATCATCCTCTGATGTGAGGCCCGTAGGTAGACCTAACTTCTGCGAAAGTTTCTTAGTCACGAGGCTTGGGATCAGTGTATGTGGGGTGTCGGGTGGGCTAGCGGGGGTAATGGAGGAGGTGGGTAGGGAATGGTACTCCCCACTCCTATTAGAGGGAGAAGCTTTGGTCTTAACTGGTTTATAAAGTCTAAGTTAGTTTTCTTCTTCTTTTTTTTTTTTTTTTTTTGATTTTCGAGACAGGGTTTCTTCGTAGCTTTTTGGTTCCTGTCCTGGAACTAGCTCTTGTAGACCAGGCTGGCCTCGAACTCCCAGAGATCCGCCTGCCTCTGCCTCCCGAGTGCTGGGATTAAAGGCGTGCGCCACCATCGCCGGCCTAAGTTAATTTTCTAAACACGCCAAAAGCAGATGAAGGGAGGGATGGTTTACTCTGGCTCATACTTTGGGGGAACAGGCCGCTCTCATGGCAGAAGGGTCTATTGGTAGAAGCAGGAGGTGACAGTCACGTGGCATCTCCTGCCAGGAAGCGGGGCACAGACAGGAAGTGGAGATGACCTCTGTGAGATCTTAAGGCCTTCCCTCAGTTGATCCACTTCCTCTAGCCATGCTCTGCCTCCTAAAAGTTCCACAACCTTTCCAAGTGGAAACTCGGTAGGGGGAAAGGGACATGCCTTTGTTTGACCTATACAGTGTCACCAGCTAGGGATAGGGAGTCTGACCAGGGCTGGCTTTTTCTGTTTCCAAGATGGTAGCTTGTTACTGTGCCCTCCAGAGAAGATGGACAGTGCCTTTACAGCGGGTCAACATCTTCCTTGCATCTTTGATGTCACTAATCGCATTCATTATGAAAGGTCATATCTCCCAATATCATCACATAGGTGATTAAATATTAGCACTTGAATTTTGGGGGCCATTCAAAATACAACATTTTCTCCCAAATTTCACAGGAGGAGGAGGGAGAAGAGAAGTGGGGAGGAGGGGATGATGGTGACAAAGAAGAACAACAACAAAGGTTCTTATTTTATTTTAAAGAAACCCTCAAAGCCGTGGTACATATTTTGCATGAGAACCATCGGGTCTGGCTTCGACTTGGACTGGCTGTGTAACCCAGGTGCCCCCTGGATCTGTCATGGAACCGGAGTGAGCTGCGATGTGCAGATGGCGTAGCAAAGTCTTCCTGATTGAGTGTTACAGAAGGCTGAGGTAATGAACGCCGGAGCAAAGTATGTCATGCAGGTGCGTTGAAGTCATTTGTTTTTCAAGCTCATTCTAGAGCAAGTGCCTGTTTCATGTTCTCATTTATCTCTGCTCCCTCCCCTACCCCAGAGAGTATGTTAACATTGCCCAGCTCTCTTTCCAAGCTGAAGAAGTCAGGCACACAGAGGTGGTGTGTCTCTCTGAGGCCCGTAACCAGATCATGGTAACTAGAAACCCAGTCGGGAGGAAAGGGCCATGGGACACAGTCTTAGTGATGGTCCTTTATTTATTAGGGGTCACACATGTCTTTTAAGTCCCTAAGTATGTACTTGGAACATTCTAGAAGAGAGATTTGGAGATCATTGAATGCGTGCACCAGAACTACTTAGCACTGTCTTCCAATTCTTTCCCAGGCTTTGTATTCTCCTCTGTCCTTTCCCTTGCACTGATGGGACCTGAAATCACCAGATCCCCATTGTACTGTGACTTTGCAAGCTTCTGATCATGCTGCTGCTGTTCCTGAAGGTGCCCTCTCTCCCCTTTTGGAAAACAAGTTTTCATTCACCAAGGCCCGATATTTCATGCTCAGCACAGTCTTCCTTACTCATTTTCTGATGGAGTTTATTTCATAAAATTGGTACATTTATATTAGTAAGTTTCCATTCTATCTGAGATGCTCTCAAGAGTTTATATTCAAGTTTACACAGCTAGAACTTGAGCTAGTCTTTGAACTTAAACTTCCTAACATCAAAGCTGGTACTGAAGCACTAGCTGACAAAGTTACTACCTCCTGTTTTTCCCCCGTTCCACTGAGGACCCCTTCATCCTCGATGGTGACGGTTCATTTGCTGCTGAGATTTCTGGGAAGTACAGGAGTCATCAGCTTCGATGCTGTGCCTGTCACAGGCCACCCTCTGTCTTTGCTGTGTCACCTGTTGCTCGTGATGGACCGTGAAACATGGTTCTGATGAACAGTCTTTCACGTTGCAGCCAATGAGGCTCAGGATTAAAATGAGTTCAGCTGACTCGTGGAGGAAAGCTAGGGTACACACTCAAGTCTGGTTTTTCCCAGAGCTCTCCTGTCTTTGTTTTCAAAGTGCCTAGGAATTCACCCAGGGCTTCACCCAGGCTCAGCAAGTGTTCTGCCACTGAGATAGTCTCAGCCCTCTCTTCCTCCCCCTTACTTACTTCCTCCTTCCTCCCCCTTGCCGCCACCTCCTCATCTTCTTTTTTCCTCTTTTTCTTTTTCTTCTTCTTCTTCTTCTTCTTCTTCTTCTTCTTCTTCTTCTTCTTCTTCTTCTTCTTCTTCTTCTTCTTCTTCTTCTTCCTCTTCCTCCTCCTCCTCCTTCTCCTTCTCCTCCTCCTCCTTCTCTTCTTCTTCTTTTCCTTCTTCCTTCTTCCATTTTGAAGCAGGGGCTCTCTAAGTTGCCCTGGGTGGCCTTGAATTTGTGATCCTCAACCAGGGATCACAGGGTGCTGCTTCTATTGGACATGTTCCATTTGTACTTATATAGTGTGGGGCTACAGAGACAAGTGCCACTGAGCTGGGATCCACAAGGTGGTCCCTGTCAAGTGGGGAAGACAGACTTCATTGTTGCCAGAGGTTTCTGTCCTGCCCGGTCCCACAGTCATTCAGTTCCAAAGAAACACACAGAGGCCTACATTAATTATAAACTGGTTGGCCTATTAGCTCAGGCTTCTTATTAACTAATTCTTACATCTTAAATTAGCCCATTATTCTTGTCTATGTTAGCCACGTGGCTTGGTACCTTTTATCAGTGAGATGTTCACATCTTGCTTCCTCTGTGTCTGGGTGACGACTGCAGACTGAGTCTTTTCTCTTCCCAGAATTCTCTTTTTTTTCTTTGCCCTGCCTCTACTTCCTACCTGGCTACTGGCCACCAGCATTTTATTAAAGCAATACAACTGACAGGGTATAGACCATTGTCCCACAGCATTTCCCCTCCCCCCCTTTTTTCAAAACAAGAACTCTGAATTGAATCTCCTCTGTTTAGCTTTTTTCCTGACCATTATCCATAACAACTTGTAACCAACAAAGAAAAACGCCCATAATCCATTTTTTTTAAAATGTGGGCATAGTTTTCCAGGCTACTTCCTGCTGATTGGGGGTGCTGATAATCTTATGGAGATCTAAAGAAAATTTAGAATTATAGTCAAATCCTGACTAGAATATTCTGTGAGGCTAGAATCCATGTAGCCCTGCCAGAGACAGATGCCAGAACTTTATCCGGGCAGAATAGAGATAGGCAGAGAAAACTAAACTGAATGCTGGGAGAAAGAAGGCGGAGTCAAGAGATGCCATGTAGCCCTGCCAGAGACGGACACTGAACCTTGCCAATAAGCCACAGCCACATGGCAATACACAGATGAATAGAAATGGGTTAAATTAAGATGTAAGGGTTAGCCAATAAGAAGCTAGAGCTAATGGGCCAAGCAGTGAGTTAATTAATACAATTTCTGTGAGGTTATTTCAGGAATTTGGGCAGCTGGGAAATGAACAAGCGGTTTCCTACTATACATCATGACAGAAAGGCAGCCCTGAGACGGAGTGAAGAGTCAGTCTACCAGGCAAAGAGAGGGACTTCCTGGGTGAGGGGATGCACGAACAGGAATTTGAAAGTTGAATAAGAATCTTCATGAAGACAAGGAGTAGAAAGGTAGCAGATGTATCCAGCAGGAGACAAGGAGTGGGCTGGGCAGGCTGTGTGGTAGACAAGATGGCTGCTCAGACATTCCCTTGCCTACCATGTTCCCCTTTCTTCACAGCCCCTGGCAGAAGCTGAGGAGAGTGGCAGCTGCAGGCTGCTGGGTACGCCCACCCCACCAGAGTTCTCGTTTTTTCTCTCACAGCTGTCCGTTGGAAAGGTGCGGGCACAAAGCTCTGTGGGATTCTCCTCAGCACTGGGGCAGAAGAGGAAATGGTGGGGACAGTCTTTCTGGGCACTGGAACCCCACACCTGCTCTCTGTCCCTCGCAGTGGCCTGGCTCAGCTTCCAGCATTGCTGCAGTGGGAAGCAAGACCAGCCATTCTTGTACGCCTGCCTGAGGCTCTTAGAGCCTTGCTGGTAAAGCCGTAAGGGCTGGCTTCCTGTTACAGGATGAGTGCCAGGTGTCTTCCTCCTGGAAATAGAGGGGATAAGGGATTCAGGGTCTGGCTGGCACAGGAGGGAGGGTGCCTGGCCTATCAGCCCTCGGCAGGAGAAACCGCGAATCTCTTGTCCGCAGACTCTGTCCGCCGAGACCATGAGCTCAACTTGCCCCAGCCTGGCTCTGGGCAGAGAGCCAGTATGGCTGGGACTGGGTTGGTGTCATCTGTGCTTGTCTGAGAGCTTGGGGCTTTAGAGTCTCCGAGCCTAGAGTTTCTCTCACTGCAGGTACCGCTGCCAAATGGCAGGGATCCCAGTGTGACCTCTTCTGTGTTAAGATGTGGCATGCAGCGTCACCAGAGGAATGAGAGGCTTTTTTTAGTTCCCATTCCCTGACTGCAGTCTGGGGACCTGCTTCACCTCAGAGACTCCATGCCCAGCCCAAGAAGATGCCTTCATAGTCCGCTCTTTGCCGGTGCCTATATTGGACCAAGGGAAACCTCAGATGAAAACTGATTGGACCACTTATCCTTGGGGGCACTAATTTATTCTCATATTTAAATCTGGCAACATGGAATCTGGATTTTCTTCTGCCTACTCCCCTGAAGGCCAGGGCACATCTCCTGGTTCAGCCTGTTCTTTAGTCTCAGATGCATGTGTCTGAGTATAGGTGTTGCTCCTTGTCGGGCTATTGGCAGGACTGGCTGGACTCCTTCTTCACTGAAGGAGTCTGTAATATGGGTCATACACCCTGTGCTCCATCTGATCCTTGTACCCATTTGTGAACATGCCCAAATCCCCTGTGAACATGCGTCTTGTGTGGCTGGAGGAGGCCTTTAATGTGTACATACACATGTGTCTGTCCATGTATAAAATGCAATCTATGTGTGTATGTCTACGTATGTGTGGCCTTGTCTAAGATGGGCCTTCTGTCCACTCTGGAAGAAAAGGGGTTGGCCCTGTCTCCCTTGCTGTAGTGTTACCCAGCTCGGGGCTGGCTTGAAAGTCCCTATCAATCTGGACAGTGATGGCTGCCATTCTAGCGTCGTCACCTCGCCCTGAGTCAGTCTCTTCCCTGTCTCCCACACCTGGCTGTTACCTTTCTTGGGACAAAGAACCTCAGGGAGGGGTTTCTGGCTTGGTGTGGCTGATCCTCAGAGGACCTCAGTGCTGGTACAGTCCCCAGGTTATGTTGGAAGTACTCCCTGGGGCCTTGGGCACGACCGAGGGACAGTTGCCCAGAGTGTCCCCTTCCCAACAAGTCTCTGGATGGGCAGGGCCTCACTTGGGGGGGGGGGAATTACCAATTTAAATACGAAATGCAAGCAGTTTGGATGGAACCCCAGGACGGCAGTTTGAGAGCTCATTCCCTGCCCCGTGGGGGTTTGATTACAACCAACTTGGCTGATAACATGCAGAGAGGGCCAGAGAAATGGTTTCCAAGGAAACTCATATCTGTCTAAAACCCCTCTGGCTCGGGTGGGAGCCAGGGCTGCCTGGGAAATCAGAGGTTGTGCTTGGTCCATTCTTTGTGAGCCCCCACTTCGCCCACTCAGCTCCTGCCCCTGGACCCCAAACTTGGCCTGCATTTCCATTTCTGCTCATGCACATTTTTTTCTTCTTGGTCTGTTTGGTTCTTCCGCCTCCTTATTTATCTTAGTCTAGGTCTTCACAGACTTAAACATTTGGGAAAGTTGGTCAACAGCAGCTAATATTTCTAAAAACTAATTGTCACCATTCTTGCGATGGCCACACCATTCCGGAAATGATGTAGTTTATTTCTATTGGCTTCCATCTCCGAAACAACCTCTTGAACTATGTATTAATGAACCCTTTTGTCCGGTTTCAGCTGAAACTACATTTCCCAGAATTCCTTACAATCAAGTCAAGTCATGTGATGGTTCTGGCCAATGGAAATGGGCAGCAGTAATA